GCGGGATTAGTTTTTCATTCTGACAGATATGGAAGTAAACTTATTAATCACAGAAGGCTCTAAAACTTTTTGCAACTATCAGCATCCTAACACTTATTACCATTGAGTGTTCCTCAATATTTTTTCTTATTGCTTTTTTTTGTGGTTTTCTTTTCCGTTTGAGAGAGGCGCGGCAGCTTGTGAAGAATTTGGTTTGCTTCTCCCTCGGGAGTAAAGAATATAAATGGTCAATAGCTTGTTCACGAATGTACGGATTCTCCCGGAATTTTTCGTCTTTGACATGTTGATCAATGAGATAGGAGATGATTTCTCCTAGATTTTTTCTTGTCAAAATCTGGCGGATTTTTTCTGCCGCTCCTTCATCGGGAAATATTTCTTCCAATAATTTGCTATATGTCCCACCAGAATCATTGCTAAAGAATTTTAACCCCTTTTTCTCCATGAACACACCATAAACTGAGTCTCTTTGATTCAATTTTACCAACCATTTAACTAAAGAATTAAAGAAGGGATTATGAAGCAATAGAAGTAAAGAAAGGCAATGGAGAAACACAGAGAAGTAAGTTGGTAAACACAAATTAAAGTAGACAATCATCGTGAAAGTAAAGTAAAACTCATGTTCAAATTCGACTTCAGAAATTGAATAAGCCCACTTGACGAGATTAGATCTAATTCTCTTTCTAACATATTGGTAGTTCAGAGAACATAAGCCACGTTATTTTTTGTGAACAATGATTGACGTAAAAATCATTAGGAAAACAAAACCAAGGGACTTACAAATTATTTTTGCGAAAGATAAATATCGGTTGCTATTTTGCGGGGAAAATAGATGATGAAATAATATTGGCGCCAGAGGCCTGATAAGCAAGGAGATTGTGGAAAAACTATAAATAGGAGACGACAAATTGAAAAACATAAGAATTTGGTGAAGCAGAATTCAGATTCCATAGTTGTTGCTTTAGTAGAGAAGAGAAAAAATTGATAGGAAATTGCTATGGAGTTTGGATTTTAAAGAGTAAAAAATCAACCGGTGCAACTGTTGGGAAAGATGATCATTATCGCCAAGGTTGCATCTTCAGCGGGCAGTTAATGTGAAGGTTTTTCTTTTATTTAAAGGGATTTTTTAACATAAGGCCAATTTGGTACAAATTTATTTAGAAAAAGGTAAAATAGTAATTTGAGTTTTAACTAAATATATTCCTGCTTTTAATATATTGTATATATATATGTGTATATATATAATCAATATATAATTTATGTATACCGGTTAGAAAAAATAAATACTGAATCGGACTGATTATTACTGTCACGCCCCAAACTAGGGGAGGCACAACCGGCACTCGATATTGTATTCGATCGAGTTAGCCACTAAACATACTAGCTAACTAAACTGGGGGCCCAACAGATCGGGCAACACAACATCTGAAATACTAAGTCTGGACCATTAAGGTCATGACCTGAATAACAATAAGCCATACAAACAAAGGTAGACGAGCCAAAATAATAAAGTACTAGCTGGACGATGAGGCTGCGATTAGAGACATACATGCCTACACACATATATATATACATGCCAAGACTATGGGCTGGAGACTGAAAGCTACAAAAAGAAACCCAGAATATTGTGTCCACAATAGCCTCTAAGAGTGTCAAAAGCACTGTCGAGACAAGGCCCCGACTATACCCATATTGTATAACAAAAGTAACCATTCTATGAAAGCTCCAGGAAGAGGTGGAGCTTACCAACTCACAGCTGAACCCCGAAATCCTAATNAGAGATACCACCTGACACTGAAACTCTGATAGCCTCCATGGCCGACATCCGACTTCATAGTAATAAAATATGCATTGTATGCTCGTGTAATCGTATGCCGTGAATACATATATATTGATGCAAATGCATGACATACTCAACCAAATCCTAGCAATGGCGGTCTCTTCTGGTAGCTAACCGGTATCATATTGCCAACATGTGGCCATCTGTACAATATATATAGTTTTTCGGGCAAATAGGCCTCTTACCTCCGATTATAGCTCGAAGTCCATGTATAATATGTCATGTATGATATGAATTTTGAATTCACATAATAGGCCATAACAAGAACTTAGCCAATCTTGGCTCATAGGTACTCTTATCCTCATGATCTCATAATCACCTTCGTATCGCATATAATTGTCTGGTGGAAATTCATATGTTTTATTTTCTTTTGAATAATCTTGAAAACCTAACTTAACTTTTAGAAAGATAACTTAACTCAGAAGATGTTCATAAAAAGCTTAAGGTGCTTCACTTAGTCCTTATACCTGATTTTTTGATATTTAGTAAAAGAAAGTATTTCAAAAATCAAGTGTTTTAGTAGTTTAAACATAAAAATTATATTTGAGATTTTTGAAAATCGACGTGTCACTTTAGAGATTTTAAGATACACTTTAATAAGGGAGAAGGACTGATCGCAAATACTAAATGCCTTTATTTTCTAGTCACACAATCCAAAGACGAATAAGAATTCATATATATAGGCATATAGTTAAGAAAGCCGAACAAATGACATATATAGATGTTGAATACCCTATTTAACCGAACGAGTGGAATATCAACCTAATAGTATCATGAAAATACTTCAGCTACGATCCCAATGCCTTTCACAGAAGGTTTTTCTAGCAATAGAATAATAAAATATCACATTTGACGTCTTAGGAATTTCCCAGAATTCGTGCTAAAAGGAAGGACAGAGTTTAGCCTTAACATACCTCTCCAACGAACATCTGAATGCCTGTAGTTCCTTCACAAAAGTTGTTCTTTATGTCCTAAGCATCGAAAACACTATATATATGCAGCTTATATGCACCTATAAATAGTTCATAATTGAGTTTAAATTGGCAGATTTGCCATATGACCCTAACTTGACGAAACGTCCGTAGAACTTTGTAAAAACGATCATAAAAGAGTCCCAAGATGATTACCTTGGAAAACCAAGTATAAAGCCTGAAGAACCAGCAAGAACAACAAATTCCTATCTGCCAAGAATAGCTCCAAACACAACTAATAGAAGGGGAAACGATTGCAAAGCGTAGAGATTGCGTTTCTAGGCACGGGGGCAAATTTTAACGGTAGAAATCGCTAAAACGCACCTTAATCACTCAAGAATACCATGGAACCTTCTTTTCAGTTTTCTTACTATTTTAGGATGAAAATGAAATGTTTTTAGGTCTGAAAAGTTGAATTTGCCGATTTATACTACTTGTTTGACCCGACCCGGTTCGCGACCCGGTTTCAGCCTGGACAGTCCGCAGTAAAACAGTCATAACTTTTTACCAATGTCGGATTGATGTGAGGTTTTTTTGGTTGCGGACTAGACTCGTAGAACTTCGATTCGGTAGGTTGTGGGTCCCATAACTCTTTATATATTGGGAGAAATGATCTGATATATTTGACCCAAAGTTTAGAAAATTTATTAGAGAAATTTATGATAACTTTTGCCGACCTTTATTTCGCAACTTGCTTGATTCCAAAACTTAACATGTGACCAATGTGATATTATAATATCTCATAAAACATTATTCTTAGTATATTAGACACTCTTGGTCTTATCCCACATGTGTAAATTAATTAAACCTTCCTAACGCACGGGGTACTACCCGAGCCATTTCTTTAACCACAAACCTTTGTTTAAGGGATTCCTTTGTCCTACAGCTTTAGTTTAGTTCCTTGATATTACAACACACTTTCATTCTTATTCTCCCAATGTGCTACACCCAATCATATATACCTAATATAACCACGCCACGTTACATATATTACGTAAAAGAAAAAGAAAAAAACATGGGGTCTCACAGTCTCCCCCCCTTAAGAACATTCGTCCGTGAATGGGTCAAGTCAATTCCTTGGTTTCATTTCTTTTCTGCTAATATGTTATTTGCAAGGCTATATTTGTTACATTGCAGAGCATAAATCAAAANCATAACACTTTCACGGAAGCCACTTCTTTAGTTCGAAGCTTTCTTACCTGCCGATCTAAAATAGTTACTGGTACCTCTACATAAGATAAGTCTTCAGCAATGTGAATATCCTTCATGGGCGTAATACGTCAAGGATCTCCAATGCACTTCCGCAACATAGATACATGAAACACATGATGGATTGCTTCCAATTCTGAAGACAAATCAAGCTCATACGCCACCCTACCAATCCTCCGAATAATCTTATACGATCCAACATACCTGGGGTTGAGCTTCCCCTTCTTTCCAAATCGCATGACGCCCTTTGTGCTGTATGCAGTCGGTCTCTAATAAGTTTTACCTTTTCCATTGCTTGCTGGACTAAATTAGGACCTAGCAACTCTACTTCCCCGACCTCGAACGAACCGATCGGTGACCTACACTTCCGCCCGTATAGTGCTTCATAAGGGGCCATCTGAATACTAGCTTGGAAGCTGTTATTATAAGCGAACTCAATAAGAGGTAGATGATCATCCCAACTTCCTTTAAAATCTAGTACGCAAGCACGTAACATATCCTCAACTGTCTGAATAGTACGCTCTGCCTGTCCATCAGTTTGCGGATGAAAAGCGGTGCTAAGATTTACCTGCGTGCCTAGACCCTTCTGAAAAGATTTCCAAAAATGTGTTGTAAATTTAGCCCCTCGATCAGAGATAATAGATAATGGTACTCCGTGAAGGCGAACAATCTCTCGAATGTAAAGCTTGGCATAATCCTCGGCTGAATATGTCGTCCTAACTGGCAGGAAATGAGCAGATTTTGTAAGCCTATCAATAACTACCCAAATAGAATCATACCTCCGTGGAGTGCAAGGCAAACCAGTGATGAAGTCCATATTTATCATTTCTCATTTCCATAATGGAAGTTCAATATACTGAGTTAGGCCTCCAGACCTCTGATGTTCGGCTTTAACTTGCTGGCAATTGGGACATTGGGCTACCATCTTCGCGATATCTTTTTTCATTCCATTCCACCAATAGATCTGTCGAAGGTCCCGATACATCTTTGTCGCTCCAGGGTAAACTGCATATCTAGAATAATGGGCCTCCGAAAGAATCTTTGTGCGGAGCTCTCCGACTGTCGGTACACATAAGCGGCCTTGGTATCTAAGGACTCCATCTCCAGTTAGCTCAAATAAAGGTTGTCGCTGCTGTGGAATACATTCCCTTAGTTTTATAAGCTCAGGATCCTCGTGTTGTCGCTCTTTCACTTCAGTAACAAAAGAAGATTTTGCTGTATTCTGAACGAGAATGCGTCCACCCTCTGCATCTACCAAACGCACCTGCAAATTAGCTAGCTGGCATAGATATTTGGTCATCTTGACCTTATCAGCTTCAACATGGCTTAGACTACCTATTGACTTCCGGCTAAGGGCATCAACAACAATATTAGCTTTGCTGGGATGATATAAAATATCAACATCATAGTCCTTTAGTAATTCTAGCCATCTTCTTTGTCGTAGGTTCAGCTCCCTCCGTTTAAATAAATACTGAAGGCTCTAGTGGTCGATGAAAACATCAATATGAACCCCATATAGATAATGCCACCAAATCTTTAGGGCGAAGACAACTGCGGCTAACTCAAGATCGTGCGTAGGATAGTTCTGTTCATGTTTCCACAACTATCTGGAGGCATACACAATAACCTTACCATGCTGCATAAGAACACAACCTAGGCCAATTCTCGAGGCATCACAATATACAACATAACCCTCGGTGCCATCCGGAAGAGTCAAGATAGGTGCCGTAGTAAGCCTTTTCTTTAGTTCCTGAAAACTTTGTTCACATGCCTCAGTCCACTGAAACTTAGCTCCCTTATGTGTTAGTTTCGTCAATGGTGCAGAGATAGAGGAAAATCCCTCCACATACCTTCGGTAATACCCTGCCAAGCCTAAAAAGCTACGAACCTCTGTCGGATTCAAGGGCCTCGGCCAAGTCATCACAGCTTCAATCTTTTGGCCATCAACCTTGATACCATCGCCGGTAATAACATGACCAAGAAAAGCTACAGAAGTTAGCCAAAATTTACATTTAGAGAATTTAGCATATAACCTGTAGTCCCGGAGAGTCTGCAATACAGCTCGCAAGTGGTCCGCATGCTCGGCTTCCGATCGCGAATATATCAGGATGTCGTCAATAAACACAATCACAAATTCATCCAAGAATGGTTTGAATACCCGGTTCATAAGATCCATAAAGGCTGTTGGGGCATTTGTAAGCCCGAAAGACATGACAAGGAATTCAAAATGGCAATATCTCGTCCTAAATGTTGTTTTTGGGATATCAATATCCCTGACTCGTAGCTGATGATAACCGGATCGCAAGTCGATCTTCGAAAATCATTTGGCACCTTGTAACTGGTCGAACAAGTCATCAATCTGTGGAAGAGGATACTTATTCATGATAGTGACTTTATTTAATTGTCTGTAGTCAATACACATCCGCAAGGAGCCATCTTTCTTTCAAACAAAGAGCACCGGAGCACCCCATGGGGATGTACTTGGCCTAATAAAGCCTTTATCGAGTAAGTCCTTCAGTTGTTCCTTCAATTCCCTTAGCTCTACAGGAGCCATTCTGTAGGGAGGAATGGATATAGGCTGTGTATTAGGAAGCAAATCTATAGCGAAATCGATTTCCCTTTCAGGGGGAATTCCTGGAAGCTCGTCAGGGAATACCGTCGGGAATTCATTCACTATAGGAACCGACTGAAGAGTCGCTGGCTCCTTATCTATATCCCTAACATGAACCAGATGGTATATATAACCTTTAGCAATAAACTTCTGAGCCCTAAGGTATGAAATAAACTTACCCTTGGGCGTGGCTGCATTACATTTCCATTCAAGGACATGCTCACTAGGAAAATGAAATCGAACCACCTTTGCACGACAATCAATATTAGCATAACATGCTGCCAACCAATCCATACCCATAATGACATCGAAGTCTAACATAACCAATTCAACTAAATCAACAGAGGTTGGATGGTCATTAATTAACACTGTACAACCTCGATAGACATGATTAGCTACAATAGAGTCGCCAACTGGCGTAGACACCTAAACTGACTGTGGCAACAACTCAGATCTCGTGTCAAGCTTACCAGGAATAAATTGAGTAATATATGAAAATGTAGAGCCGGAATCTATCAATGCATAAATGGCATGAGAATGTATTGTCAATATATCTGTGACAACATCTGGGGATGCCTCTAAATCCTGTCGGCATGTGAGTGCATAAAAGCGATTCTGGCCACTACTAGAACCTAAGGTGTCTCCTCCACCTCTCCCCCTACCACGGCCCTGAGTAGACTGTGGACCTGGTCGGGGAGCACGAACTGAGGTGAAGAGGCTGTTGTGGATCCTGAAGGCTGAGTTGGTGCACCTCTCCCTAACCCCGGGCACCAATTAATAAAATGTCATGTCTGCCCACAATGATAACATGCACTCGAACCCTGTCTACATTGCACGGTGTGCAGCTTACCGCACTGAGTACATGGAGGAGTAGGCTGTCTCATTTGTGCGGAACGCTCCGGTCGACGCCCATCAGGCTGGTCTGAGCTCTGCCCCGGTCCTGACTGAATATATCGATCAAACCGCTGGCCCTGCATCTGTGGTGGGAAACTACCTGATGACCGAGGTGGATATCGATGGAGTGGGGGCCTAAAATCACCCCATGGCTCCCTATAAGACCTCATAGTATGAGCCCTCTTACTCTGCTCCTTATCCCTACGAGTATCACAAATCCGACGGGAAAGGTCCTCTGTAGTCTGAGCGAAAGCCTGTATGCGGGAAATATCTACATCATTCGATAGGGATGCTACCCTACAATCTCTAATCAGATGATCCCTCAAACCATCTACATAATGATGAACTCTAGCCCTCATGGTACGTACGATATCTGGTGCATACCTCGCCAAAGAATTAAACTTATGGCTATAATCCCTCACACTCATATCCCCATGCTTCAGGTTAAGAAACTGATCAAGACGGGCCTCTCGAACCTCCCGTGGCAAATAATGAGCTAAATAGCCTCAAAGAAGTCCTCCCACTCTGTTGGCGGAGCATTAGGTCCTCTAGATCTCTCTCATGCCTCATACCATAGGACAGCTACATCACGTAGTCGAAAAGAAGCCAACTCCACAGCCTCGGTGACGGAGGCATGCATCACCCTCAATACTCTATACATTTGGTCTATAAAGTCCTGGGGATCCTCAATGGAACTGGATCCTGTAAATAATGGAGGGGCCAAGTGAAGAAACTCTCGAACCGTCGAGCTTCCTGTCCGATCTCTCCGGGCATCTGCTCCCGATTCTAGTTGTCGCACATGAATAGAAACCATCTTAGTCAGCAACTGAACTGCCTCCCTCATCCTATGCTCCCCAGTATGTGATGGGGGAACAACAGGTACTGGAGGTCCTATGTCTCTAGCTGCCATAGGTACTAATGGAACTGGTGAGGTTAGGGGTACTGCATCTCCCGAGGCTCCAACACGTGCTAGGGAAGCTGAAACTAGGGGTACTGGAGACTCACTGTGTGCCTCTAAGGGAAATCTATCCCTCTGACCTGGTGCGGAATGACTGGTACCTTCCCCCAGATCCATACCTATCTCTCGTTGTACCATCTCCTGAGAGTAGGTAGCCTGTTAGATAAGAAACACAAAGCACGATTTAGATTTCATATGTTCTTATAACTTCGTTCTATAGCACGATTTATTAATTAAAAGAAATGTAACCATTCCTAAANACTCTACTAGATATGGCTTGTGGACTCCCTGGGATACGACCTGCTCTGATACCAAGTTTGTCACGCCCCAAACTAGGGGAGGCACGACCGACACTCGATACTGTATTTGATCGAGTTAGCACTAAATATACTAGCTAACTAAACTGGGGGCCCAACAGATTGGACAGCACAACATCCGAAATACTAAGCCTGGACCATTAAGGTCATGACCTGAATAACAATAAGCCATATAAACAAAGG